CGTGTAGCTTTGCGCGAAATTCAAAAACAAACAAGCTACCGTGCTTAGACTTACTAACAGATTAAATGATTTTTTTTGGTTAATTTTCAGTCTTAAATCAGTCAAAATATTGATATATATCTGATGAGTTTTATTTGTTTCTATTATTCGTAAAGAAACTCACAAATTAAGTAAGTTTCCCTTTTACTGTTTATGAGCACATTGAAAAATCAGATAAGTTTTACTTAGTGTTTACTATTAATGAACACATTGAAAAGTATGGTGAATTGTACTTAATCTTTACTATTCATGAATATATTTAAAAGTCAGATGAGTTTACTACTTTTCATGAACACACTGAATCGAACTTACATTAAACTTAATTTTTTCTAAAGTAAACTTTAGTTCTTGAAATGATTTTATCGTTCTTAAATATTTCAGTTATATCAAACACCCTGTGTTGTTTTCATGTGAAGTATATCGAGTAATTTTTGTTGTCTGGAAATTTAAAGCTCCACAACTGCTTGGTATCTTAATTCCTTGGTCGCAGCTGTTCAGCACTGCTTAGCTTTATCCTTTGAAATGTACGATCATTTATTTTAGAACGAAAAAAATGCTAGCAATAAATCAGGATGAAAGATTGACTAACCTTGAGTTTTAACATATCTTACCGTTCCTTAGTTCCCCAATAAGGAAAAGAAAGTTTGCGAGTACTTTAAAGAACCGAGATTTTTAAGAAACGTTGAGTCTGTTTAGATTTATTAGGATTTGAGTTTTGTAGAATTTAAAGAGGGAAAAGCAGAAGCTTCTTATGTAAAAATTTCAGTTTCACATACAATTCGAGTCAATGGTTTCGCATGCCACTTTAGTGATCTCGTTAACAATGTAAGTTATATTCCCAATTCTTCAGATAGACGATGATTAATATGCTTTTACTTCATCGAACGAATTTTGTCCTTGATGAAAAAATATTACGCTCTTGTAGGCATTTAGATGGAGGATACGATAATATTTTAAGAAGGAGCAATATTGTGGTTGAAGCTCAGAGTTTGAAAATAACCATAAAACACTTTACATTTAAAATACTAGTATCTAAATTTCTGGTTTTATGTTTAAATATTTTTTTTTCAGTTAAATTAAAATAACTGTAATGAAGAAGAAGAGAAGATTGAAATATATATTATTTTATCATTCCCATGTCTTTATTTCATGAGGTAAAATAACCCTAATTTTTACTGTGTGTTTTTATTTGTTGTTATGAATTTGAAAACTGTTTTACTCTAAAAACCTTGAAATTTAATCTAAAATAGAATAATAAATGAAAAAATGCTCCTGTTTGAGTAAACTTGCTTTTATTTTATTTATCTTACAACAATGCACATAATTTAAATAGGTTTTTTAAGGAAGTATGTTTCTATTAAATTTTGAAAAAGAAATGGTTCTGCTAAAATGATAAATAAAATAGCAACGAGTCCCCAGCTTAGAAGTTTCGAGTAAAAAGACACCACTTTATAAATTACTTTACAAGTTGGCTTAAATAACATTATGTTTCTTATGTCTTGTCGCTTTTTTATATTAAAATTGCTCCAAAATTGAGAATTTCGAACCAATATGTAAGTTAAGGAGTTTTGAGAATTTAAACATCCAATATTGAAAAACAAGAAATAGTATCAAGATTTTTCAGCTGTAAATAATGAGTATTTTGATATCTTAATTATCCGATATTCAAAAGAAAGAAACATTATCAAGCCATTTTTAGCTGTAAATAATGAGCAATTGGATATCTTAAATATCAGATATTTAAGAAAAAGAAACATCATCAAGACTTTTCAACTGTAAGTAATGAGTATTTTGATATCTTAATATCAGATATTCAAGAACAAGAAACATTATCAAGACATTTTCATCTGTAAATAATGAATATTTTGATATCTTAAATATCAGGTATCTAAGAACAAGAAACATGATCAAGAAATTTCCATCTGTAAATAATGAGGATTTTGATATCTTAAATATCAGATATTCAAGAACAAGAAATATTATCATGACGGTCTTCAGCTTATCTTTTTATTCATCTATCCTCTACAATTGCCACGAAGAGCTTGGAAAGCCCATAACACTGGAACCTCTTAAATAGTTGTAATGGTTATTTCCTTATGACATGTTTATCACAGCTTTAAAAAAATCTAAACTGAAAAAATGTGCATTTTGAAAATGTTATGATTTTGTTGATTATGTTATTTTGTACAACTTTCAAGCCATAAGTATTTTTTATGTCTTCTCAGAGAGTCATACTGTTTATCTATAGTTTCTTCTTCTTCTAAACACATTTCAATCGACCGTCATTCCTTCAGTTCTCGGCGGATTAACTTGAAACTTGGTAGGGTAATACCGTGGTCAAAGACGCTCAGATATCTTTTTCATTTATTGTTTTAGGACTTATAAAGGATTCTATAGGGTCAAAAGTAAAACTACCCAAAATGTATATTTTGGGCTCCTGTGTGGTCGTTCATATTTACAGTAATCAAGATGAAAATTAGTACAAATATAAATTTCCACACGCTTAACCCATTGACATAGAAAAAGTTGGATTTGCTCATTTCCCCATTTTGAGTCTTTTAGGGGGGTCAGAGCTCATAAAAAACAACTAAATAATTGTGGGTTTTTGGTCAATTACTCGGCCGTATTTTGACCAATGTACATGGCATTCAAAACGAAGACACTTTTCTTCAGGTTCCACACATTAACAAACAAATGGTGGACTTGCCCATTTTTAGTAATTATAGGGGTCAAGATTCCACAGAAAGCATAATTTTAGGGTTTTTGACAATTACTCTGTTGAATTTTGGCCAATTTACATGGAATTTGATACAAAAATACATGTTTTACAGGCCCCATATTATACAAACGAAAATATGAATATGTCCATTTTTGGTCATTTTATGGGGGTCAAAAGGTTAATAAACCCATAATTTTAGGGGATTTAGGTCAATTACTTAGTCTTGTGTCGACCAGTTTACATGGAATTTGGTATAAATGTATTTTTCTACAGGCAACACACATTGAGAAAACGAAAATGTTGGATTTACCCATTTTTAGTAATTATAGCGGGTAAAAATGCCACAAAAAGCATAATTTTAGGTTGTTTTTTTTACAGTTACTACACTTACATGGGATTTGGTACAAAGTACTTTTTTACAGGTCCAAAACAGGGATATATAGATAATTTTGGAATTTTTGTCTTTTGCTTAATTTTTCAATGAGGGAAGCACAATTTGGGGTTTTCGTGAACTACTTATGTGTATGTCAACCAAATTACATGGGATTGTTAGAAAGATACCTTCATGCAGATTCCAATTAGTGATGCACACAATTTCCGATTTATCTGTGTTTTTCACGATTTTTCTGGAGTCAAAACTGACCATGTTGGGATTGTGTGGCGGAGACATGCTGCATTCGCCCGCGAATATAGGCCTCATTAATTAAATAAAATATATATTATTATTTTTTATTGACGTTTAACTCAATTTCCTTGAAGGAAATTAAAATGTTCTTGTCAACGATCTTTCCTGTTAACAACAGCTAAAAACAAACAAAAAACAAGATAAATGAATATACTTAGTGGTAAGTCAGAAGACACATAACGTTAAAAACCGGGTTTCGATACCCGTGGTGAGCAGAGCACAGATAGTCCATTGTGCAGCTTTGTGTTTAACAACAACAAACAAATGTGTGTTGGCTTGTCGTTCGTCTGAATGCAATCGTTTTTAGCCAATAAAAACAAAATAAATGGTGATTTTTTGTTCCTAGCTTGATGATCTTTCTTCTACTAGAATTGTCTAAGGTTATTGACATAGCTGAAGGTTATTGACATAGCTGAGTAATTGTTCTTAGTCAGTTTCTTCTCCATGTACAATCCTTTTAGCTATCAGAAACACGTTGTTGAGTTTTGTTGTAATTTAATGCTCCTCCCTCTACTCTCATTCTTTAATATCTAAAACACGTTGCTGAAGTAGTTGAATTTTTGCTTTTAATTTAACGCTCCTCCCTCTACTCTCATTCTTTAATATCTAAAACACGTTGCTGAAGTAGTTGAATTTGCTCGTCATTGGTTGGTCTTCCTGAAATTACTTTTTTTATAACCACAAAATATGTTGTTTTAGTTGTTTGCAACTATCAGCTTCTCGTTCCTCCTGTTACGCTTTTTGCCTTATTATATACATGATGTGAGAAAAACACGTAGGTTCAAGAAGTCTTAATATAAAACGATAAAAAATTCTATAACTTTATTATAAATGTTATGAATTTAATGACCATTTTCTTGTTTGCGAATAGAGCGATATCCATACTAATTTCCAAATATTGCGCATACGTATATCAATATTTAACGAAAGAAATAAAGTAAATATTTAATGAAAGTAATAAAGTAAATATTTAATGAAAGCAATAAAGTAAATATTTAATGAAATTAATATAAAAAAACGAATTACTAATGCTTACTGATTTCAGTTTCGCATCCACAAACGTGTTCATTGAATTAGGACAGACATTCAGTACTCACTTACCTGTTTAGCTATCATAATTCACTTTATTGAAGTCATACACATTTTTGTTGTTAATGCATGAAAAATACGTCGATCCACATTTGATGTATTAGACAAATGAATCAAGTTGATGCGCGAATCTTTCCAAAAGTAAGGCGTAAAAATGAATAGAAAGTATCTGTTTTATTAAAAGTCTAGAACGAAAAGGGACATTTTACAACAAAGATATTCGAGCAAAGAACTTTAGAAACTTCCTAAGCTGTATCATGATTGTGGTTTTTACGCTTGAATGAGAATGTGGATTGACTTTTATTTCAACTTCCATTGAGCTTTAGGACTAGCTGTCCCCCCCAAACATTTTTTTTTTACATTCTAATACTTTATTTATTAGTGGTTTTGTCAACTACGTTTATTTTGTAACACCTAATAGGTGCACTTAGCGTACAATATTACGATATTTGATCCGCAGGATAATTAATGACAATCATTGTATCACAGTTATAATAAAAGGTAAAGTATTTAAGTTTCTTTTTTTATGAAGCGTACAGCTATAATAATATACAGTACAGACGTAAGGAATTGAGATGATAAACAAAAGGGTAACGAACTATAGGTTCGTACTGAAACTGTTTTACGTAGCAGCCAAAGTAGAAAGCACCAGCAGTCTCGAAACGATGGCTTTCAATTTGTTCTCTTACTATGGGACTTTGTTCTCTGGTCAATGTTACACTGTTGTTTCACCAGGGCGCTCCTGAAAATAGCTAAAAAAATATACTCAAATTAAAGCTTCACATTATCAAAGTCTAAGCTGTCAAATAATGAACAAAAAATAAATAAATAAATGTTTCAACAGATCGATTAACAGATGTTTGTAATTTGTATATTTTATCACTTACAAAATTTATCTCAGCGGATTTACAACGCTAGAAACCGAGTTTCGACACGCGTGGTGGACAGAGCACAGATAGACCATTGTGTAGCTTTGTGCTTAAACTACAAACAAACAAAGAAAATTTATTTGCTTCTTATAATAATTACGAAAATCTTTTTTGGAGTGACTATAATGCTGCATAACTTTTGAGTGTGTTTTAATTTATCACATTTCCTATGAAAGAGAACCAATTAAATTTGTGAATTGTAAAAACTTCTGGTGCAAACAAAAACATCTAAACCGCATAATACAACCAATGTGTGGCATTATATGCCTTCAGTCAAGCTGAATTATTGAGAGCTTATGGTTGTAGAAAAGAAAACACATTCCGCTGACCAAAAATTGTAATAATATATATATCTATTTACTATTACTAAGTAATTATGTCAGGTGAAGTTATCAACTTCTTAAATCTTCACTATACTTAGATTTTGTCTTCATTGGTGCAATGTAAGGACACGCTAATTTTGTTTTACCATTTCATTGAAAAATATGAATTACCAGTAAGTCGTTAATCTTCACATGCATGGTTACGTAGTTAAGTAGGTGAATCTTTCCCTTTTTCTATTTGAGTCAAATCATCACTTTGAATAATGAGAACTTAAACAAGCAGTGACGTTTGCCTTAAGACGCAGAACATGCTGGACCACCTTTTAAATAAAGTCGGAATTTAAACTTTAATTTTTTGCCATTTAACACGAGAACACAACCACGTTAGATATATTTATGAAACGATAAAGACATTTTTAAATAGAAGTTATGCATATGTCCATTAGGTACTGTGAGCGTGGACAGGATGCCAAACGAGTAAAAAAAAACAAAAAAAACAGTATATTTTATTGAACACCGGTTGCTCCCTAGCGGTCATTATTTTAAATCTAAATCGGTTTATAAAATGAACTTTCCTACAGAGAAGAAAGATCAAGATTGTAGTGACTGATATGAAGTTCTGAATCTGAAACATGCTTACAGACGTAAATAGACACCTACTCACACCTTCATCTCCGGGCTAGCCGCTGAACATCGCAAGCTGTGTGCCAAGAGTGGCTGTCCCTCTGGTAGCGGTTGTCCGAGAGAATTGGGAACAGTATTGACGGCCATCGAAGTGTGAGATAGTGGGAAGCATAGCTCTTGGGGATGAGTGGACGGTATGGTGGAAGAGTGGGCTTTTGCGCGCATTAAATCCATTTTCATCTGGTTCAATTTAGGCAGTGGATCATCATCCGTACAATCCGGCGACTGTATAAAAGTAAAATAACGTATATTTATAAGTTACATTTTTGTTAATAATGATAAATGAAATGCTACATGCTAGTGAGAACAGACATTAAACAGTTTACTGATCTCTAATCCTTCTTATTAGACTAAGAGCTAATAATTCACCCAAATAATTCATAGATTACCCTGAAAAGGTGATTTCGAGGTATAAAAACATTCTGTAATCTTTGAGTTTACTTTTATTTTAGGCTTAACATTGCCGAATGCCTTTCTGTGTTAGATCTTCGTTAGCATATAAATCTATCCAAATAATTGACCTCAACTTGAGTATAGATATCAAAATAACTGGATGTAAGAGATTTCCGGAAACGTCTATTAATGAAAAATAACATTCAAATGGTTTAGGAGTTATCACTTTGAATATTTACATAAATGAAATTTACTAAAAATCAAGACTGACTTTTACAGAAAAAACGAAGACTCCTAGACTGTTGCTCATATGTTTCCAATAGTGTTGCAATTAGCATGTTGCGTCAGTTGTATTTAACAGGTACTAATTCCAACAAAGATCAAAGAATCGATGAACAGTGCGTGAAACAAACGCTAGTTTTTATGTGTTTTTTTAAACAAATTCATATTATATTGTTTTTAATGTTAGATTTACTAATGGTATTCCTTAAAAAGTTTTATATTTGTAAAATATATATTTTCAGTGTTTTTAGATTATTATTAGATATAGTTTTCACTATGAGAGTTACTTTACATTCTAACTTAGTGTATGAATTTTGGACTAACCCAAATCTCCTAAGCACGTTTAACCTCGGGAGATGTTATTGGGATTAAGTCCGAAAATATCGCTAACAGCATGAGTATCCAATTGATGAATTAAATCAGTCTGCTTACCTCCGTCACTAAAGGTGGACGGAGGTTATGTTTTCACTCCTGTATGTGTGTTTGTTTTTGTTTGTATGTGTGTGATTCTTTGTGTGTTTATCAGCAAGATTTCTCAAAAACGGCTGAATAGATTTATACGAAAGGCGGTATACATTTGTACTGTGACCCAACTTAGTAGAGATTAATTTCTGGAAGGTCAAGGCCACAAAAATAAAAAAAATCGCCATCTTTCACACCGATTTTTCACACTATTTTTACTCTATAACTCATTCAGAAATGATCGACTTTTGATTAAACTTGGTGGACATATGTAGATTATTATTTCTCATTGTTCTGCCAAAAATGTCTCATTGTTCTGCCGTTGATAATGACGGACATACGGACACATATTCGTATTTTTTGAGAGCCGAATACGTGGCGGAGGTATGCGCTCTTCTGAGTACCCTCTATTTAGTATCATTTTTTTGGTTTATGACATACTATACTCCAAGGTAGACTGGTATGTCGTATTAGTCATATTAATTATTATGTTGATTTTTAATTCTGATGTTGGACATGAAGAGTAAAGTATACAATAAACTCCTGATCACGATATTAGAACTTTAAGGTAAAATGAACAATAAACTGATATTCATGATGTTGGGCTTAAATAGTATAATGTAATGAATTTCAAATTATTTTAAGAACATAATATAATGACAGTTTAAAATTTCCGTTTCTTTCACCTTACCTAGAAAATCGTTCTTCATGAGAAATTCGGTTCATATCTTAATTGTTAACATTATGCTCAAAATAAGTTAGTTGCTTGATAGGTGAGTTTGATAAATTTTTTCTTATTTTCATAACTGATAGTTTTTTTTATCAAAGTCTTAGAAGATGAAATGTAGTTGAATGTTTCATCGGCATTATACGCATTTCTAGTTTAGGATATTGTCACTAGGGAAATTTTATAACTGGGATGGTATTATATTCTAAAATGGTTGGTAAATTACTGAATTTTCCATCCAGATTATGTAAACATTTCAATCTTTAAAACGAGCATAATTTTTTCAGTAAATATTTGTAGGTGTTGATGATTAATGACTGAAACAACTTTTACAAGCTCTACTGTTTGTGAAAGCTTTCATAATGGTATTAAATACACTAACTAGTTCAATACCTTTGTAAGATTCTCCGAAATAAAACTGTTGTGATTTTTGAGATAAAATTTATCGAATTTTTCCTCTCCAAGTGTTTTACAGCATTTCAGGAGCTGACAGTTTTTACGTTTAGATATAGCTGTTTAAATACAGCACGTGCTTCTCTATAAAACTATCAATAGAATGAGCGAAGAAATAGAATTAGCTTATCAATCACACATCTTTCTGAGTAGAAATTACGTAAACACATATTTCTGAAGTGGAGTTTTATTCGAATCTTTATAAATCTCATTTACCTCATAAATTCTTTTGTCTAGTTTGAAATCCCTGGGTTTGTCCTTTTGATAATAAACTCCAGCGCAGATTAAAACGTTCAAGATTAAAAGTGAACACCCAACGGCAATGGTCACACTGAGTGTTGTGGAGTATATTCCTTCTTGGTATACAACCGTTTCAGATTCAGTTTTATTGGTTGAGGTTGTTGCAATCAGGACGCTCTGGGGTGCAGTTTGAGAAGTCACTTCCACGCTCGACTTCATCTCTGAAATTGCAACACTTTCACTGGTTTCCGTGGCAACACTGTCTTCCTTTGTAAAGGAGTCGGTGGTGACAACTTGAGTGGAAGGTGACTGATGACTGCGTATGATTCCATCGTACGAGTACAGGTTATTATAGTCACGAAGCCTGTGATGATCGAAATGAATATCCCCCGAGCCAGCTCTGTTTAGTTCGGGAAGAAGATTTAACCAAAACGATAACTGATGGGCGTGATAGTGGTCTCTTACTCGAGGCTTTATTCCTGTTAGGGAATGAGCGTTTAGTTCGGTTTTAAAACTTTCAAGTACATCATGCGAACTATTTAACCTTCTATAAGTAATTTTGAAGCTTTTAAAACTTTCGTGTTATGCCTTTGACACATGTGAATAGCAAGTATCTTAGATAAATCTAAAGGTTTTTATATTGTAACTGAAAAAAGGGAGGAATAGAAACAAAATCTGATGTTGCCTTTGAATCATAAACGGTAAATCACTCCAACAATGGTTTTTTTCTACACTCTGTATAACTTTTACATGGTAATGCGACTTCCAGTAATCTTTTACTTAGTGCAGGTAAAGTGAAAACAACACTTAGAAGAATATCTTACATTTTTCATTAATGGTATGATTATCACTAGATATTAATTTTTGGGTGTGAACAGTATGACTGTACATCATAATATGACTACATAGTATCTGGTGTGATAACCGTAAAGATACTTATAAAAATGCTAAAAATAAACTTCCAATTACATAACTTTAACTGCTTTAGTAACTGCATGATGACTAAGTTGAAAGTTATTTTATTAGAACATGTTTAACCTGTTTCAAACGATATGACGAGAAGCTTGAGAAACCTAAATGAGAAGACCAATTAATTAACACTGTGGGTGGACGTGGATCTCTTGCTCCTGCGACCTTTAGTTAATTAGACAGCATCTGTTCCTAACTTTCTAGTTTCCAATCAGCTGTCAGTGCTTTATTAACTAATTTAATCTCAATATTCTGCTACGACTGACATTATTCGCATTGATTTTATGCTTTACATATACACAAGTCGTATAATTAACTTTCACATGCAGATATACAAAATTATAGGCACGAGCCAGATTCGAAAATTGTCATCTTTTCAAGGTAATAAAATATGTTTTACATTAACACTCTAAATCATACAGTATACGTACTCACAGAAAATTATTGTTATTATTTTACAAAATGTTGTAGAAAGTATGGTGGCAAAAGGATCGTATCTGATAGGAACTAAATGATTAATTTTGGAATGTCGTATTATCAAAACTAAATCAAATGTGATTGAGATCTGATTTTCCAAGCTTAGATAACCAGTGAATAATTCAAATTAGATTTTTTTAAACCAAATATATATCTTTGAATAGTTGTCGAGTAGTTTGGGCTTTATGCTTATCTGAGTAAACAAAATAAAACCGACTTTGAATATCAGCGAATTATTTAATTGCCATAACAGAATGATTAAAACAAGCCCCAAAAACATTGGTAGAATGTGTTTGTTTTTTGAATTTCGCGTAAAGCTACACGAGGGCTATCTGCGCTAGCCGTCTCTACTTTAAAGGGAAGGCAGCTAGCCATCACCACCCACCGCCAACTCTTGGGTTACTCTTTTACTAACGAATAGTGGGATTAACAGGCACTTTATAACGCCCCCACGGTTGAAAGGGCGAGCATGTTTGGTGGGACGGGATTCGAATCCGCGACCCGCAAATTGCGAGTCGAGCACCCTAACCACCTGGCCATGCTTCATTGGTAGAAGCTTAAATGAGAAACTAAATAAAAATTAAGTTTTAGTTATTTCTATGAAAAAGCACAACTTCTCAAGCTTATAATAAGCAAACTACTACTTTACAAAAGAGCAAACATTGGACTAAATATAATATTTTTCGCAATAAATAAATCTATGTGGGCAAAGAAATAAGAAGTAGACAATTTTTTTCAATCTCTTCGCAACTAGCGCTTCTTAGCGATACGTCTTGCAAATATAGGTAATCTTACAATTTATATTTTGTTATTAAGTACAAAGTACACAATAAGCCACCTGTTCTCTGCCTACAACGGGTATCGAAACTAGGTTTACAGCGTGAAAAGCTCTCAGATTTGCCGTCGAGTCATCGGTGGAGGCATACATCATAGAACTTTTTCACAGACATATATAATAATTTATTTTTAAAACGTCCATCCTGCCCTCTTTTTGTGGAAACAAGCTAATGATTTTTTGAATAATTGTTTTTTTTTATGGTAAGTTTCTTATTTCATCTTCTTATCGAAGCAATCTAATTCTCAGTAATTAATTTAAATAACATATTTTAGAAATAAATTCTAGAACAATGGGTTAGTTCTAAATCTTATTTGTAGAAACAACAAAATACAATTATAAGTACTAGAAAGCAAAAATCTAACAATTTCGTGAAGAAGAAATAATTTTAAAAGTTTTAATGGAATTTTTGGTAAATAACGTCTGATTCTGAATGGTTATTACGTTTAGATGACGACACATTCAATATTGGAATAATTGGTACTGAATTATAATACATTTATTCGAGGACTAAATACACTTTTGTGTGTCAGATTATGGGTCCAATATTTCGTAGTTCATTGTATTATAAGAGTGACAGTCAAGTCTATATATTTGGTCTAACAATACTAGCCTGAGAACTAGGGGTGGTTGGGGTTGACTAGCTACCTTCCCTCATCTAGTTTTGGGCGAAGTTAAACAAACAAATATTTGTAAAATTATAACAATTATCCGTGAATTCGTAAACTGTATACTAGAAAAATATACATTCGCTTACTTTCTATGAAGAGGCATTTTATGCGCTCTTATGTAACTGTGTTCAAAAGTTAATTATTTTAGGACTTTACGCATACGCAAAGTTGTTGTTATTTGATTTAGAGCAAAGCCACATTAGGCTATCTGCTGTGTCCACCGAGAGGAATCGAATCTTGGATTGTAGCATTATAATTCCATAAACTTGTTGTTGATCTATCGTGGGACGATAAGCAAAGTTAAATATAAATACAAATAGTGCCAATCTTTTCAGTGAGGTAATTTTTATTATTTTGGAATCCTTTAGTTTCGTCCCCCGGTGGGACAATGACAAGTCTACGGTCTTCCATTGCTTACTATGCTCTAAGAAAAATAAATAAACAAAAAAAAACAATCCTTTAGTTTCGCATAAAATTGTTCAAGTCCGGGAAAATATTCACAGAAATTTTGATGTTTCATTGAAGCTTATGCAGCAACCATGAAATACAAACATTTATAGCTTGGATATTGATATAAATGAGTTTTAAAAAGTGATGTTGCGATAAATATATATATATATTCTTATTACTCTGTCAAAATCCGGTCATCACAGTTTTTGTATCTTATAAGAAAAAATTCTGTTTACGGATTTTTAGGGAGATGTCAACACAGAGAATACTCACCTCCATTAGTTATTACAGAGGAAGATTAAAATCAGAACGAAAACTGTTTACCTATAGTAATATATTTCTGATATAGCGGATCGTATCTTTGCCATTCAAAAGGGTTGAGCCTTGGCACGAGTTTCTCGTTGCCATTCCTGTAGCCAGTCGAATTCGGATTTCTATATAAGAAAGAAGTGTTAATGTTATAACTATTGATCATTGATAGACGCAAAATGTGAATTTATTTCTGCTAATACAGTGATTAAGAATAGATCATAGTTTAAAGTATATTTTCATTCTTAATTTTTTTTACCACTAGTTGACAACTCCAGCTGGGTATAGAACAAAAATAATGTTGTTATGTTTCTTGTACGTAAAACGCTTTAAAAATAATGTTGTTATGTTTCTTGTACGTAAAACGCTTTATCTCCAGAATTAGTCTGAAAACTCTCTTTGTCTTTTGTATACGGCTAATAAGTACACCTTATGATGTATAGGAAAATATATATACTACTTGATATATGTTCTCCTTTTATTTCATAAAAGAGGACTTTCTCCCGAACTATACATCCTAATTCACTAAGTTTAGAAAGTGACTGAACAAATGATTAAGTTCCCACTAATAACGTGTTGAATTAAATTTTGTTGTAATGATAGCCTGCATTAGCGTGGCTACGCAAAATGTTGGGTAGTTTATTATTAATATCTTCTGACCAAATACTGACTAACTAGTTCAGAAATTTAAAGTAACTGTACGTGAATGAAATCATTCTTAATAATTCAGTTTCCAACAACACCAACTCTAGCATCATGCTAGCAGATTCAAAGGACTTGCGTGATGCTCTGCATATTGCTGTCAGTACAGAAAAGGGTGAAATGCGATTTATCAGACCACATCACACGCTTTCAGCCGTCCATTCTCTTCAACTTGCTCCAAAAGCACTACAGAAGTCGTGCTTTCATACTTGCATCTGAGATAAGCGGTTTTCAGACTGGCTGTCGGCTGCCATATGACAGATTTTGCCAATGTCCTTCAGCTGGAAATAGTTGAAAAAAACCTAACGATCAACTGGGACATGACCTAATGGTTATTGCACTTTACAACCATATCTAATAATATTTTATTTCGGTTTGTTACGTGCAGTTAATAGCCACAGCTTTTTTTTTTTTTTTTTACTTTCTTTCGATTGCCACTGATGATAGAAGTTTATGAACAGCCAGTCAAATAAACGGTATTCAATAACGACGTTCCTTTTAAATAGGCACCTAGTATATGACTTTTTATAAGCCCGAGCGATCCTGGCTCTTTCGTATTGATTTGTAAACTAGCTATGATATGACTACATTTCTGCATTTATAGGGTTCAAGTAATCATCCGATGTATTACATAATCACTTTGCATATGCAAATAAATGGGTTTTAAAAAAATAACAAAGTGTCCATTCAATGTTCATGTAAAATGTGGAAAGTGTGTGCGATTTTTTAAAGTGAATATAGGTTCAATACCTAATTATTATCCAAGAGTGTGTGTTTATCATCAACAACGGAAACGTAAATTCAGCTATCATCTTATAAGTAACTGCTGTAGGTATTTTATGACCTATGCTGTTAAACCACGTATAGTCAGTCTACCAGGTTAAAGGAAAAACCAAAACAACAATAAACACTTATGAGACTGATATAATATTTGTGTTTATTATTAATTCCGAATTAAGATACTTTTGAGGAATCCTAATTTCCTGCGAATAATAATAATAGCATGATTACTATATATAGTGACAAAAAGGGTATAAGAATTTTGTATATGAGTTGATTTATTATTTTTAAACAATATTGAATCTTTGTTTATACCTAATAGAAAATGGGAATAGTTCATATCTCAAAGCTGAGAACCATCTTATCCAAATCGGTTTCATTAAACACCTATTAAGACAGACTACAGAACGTCTAGAGAATCTGAAATTGTATTGTTATAATATGTGAAATACCAACACTGTTAGTAACAAAACCATCAGTTTATCTGAATGTATAATTGGAATCAGAAGACTGAAAGTGTCAATTACAAATCTGTGTTCATAATGATTTAATTACAACTTTATGAATAATGAAGAGTATTCAATGCCTAAAAGGATCAAAGAATCCCATAATATATAGTGAGTCATATCCTATAATTTCATAACACTTAACCTGTTAGGTAAATCAGAGTAGTGAATATAGTCAGATAATAAAATTAATATAAATATTGTTTTATTTTCGTAAATAAATTAATTTATAGCTATACATATGCAAAATGAAATACAATATATGTATCTCTGTAAGAATAATAATTTCATTTCATTACATTTGTTTTTTCTTGTTACAATGTTAATAATGTTGGTGACAGTTGGCTAAGAGTACAATTCAATATATCTCGAAATGAAATATATTAATACCAAAAATATAAGCATTTGCTGTTTTGGTTATTGTAAACTCTACCCCTGTCAAATTTGTCTAATAAATCTAACTACTTTAATACTCTACCCAGATCGAGCAAAATTGGTCCAGTGGGTGATTACAGCTTCAGATAGAGCCTCCTCCGACCGAGTGTAGTTAGGTTGAAAATATGCTAAAGAGTCCACCAACGGTGCACCAAAAATGTAGGGAAGTTCTTCCCCATGGACACAGCCAAGTTTAGAAGAATAATCACCTTCTTCAGACTGGTGGTTGAAAACGTAGAAATAAGTGTTTTCCCGAACACCAGCTTGCAAATTCCCTAGTTTCACAAGCGGTGCCACAATCAGGGCATCACTTAAAGCATCATTTGTTCTCTCGAGTAAGTAGTCAGAAGGATGTTGACCAAACTGACTCCAGTCAGTGTACTCGTTCATGATAGTTAAATAAATTTCTTGCTGATGGTAGTTATACAGGTTTCTCACCAATGTACGAAAAATTCGATTCCGTCTCTCCAGATCAATCCCAAATTTCTCTTCTCTCGCCGAAAATCCAAAAATGTATTCTGCCTTAGTGACTCCAAACAATAGGTCGTACTGACGATTAATGTCACTGTTCTCTTCCATTTGGTATTCTGGGTCGTGTTGTAATGATATACCATCTATTGTTGGCCCAAATGTAGTTAGATAATCAGGAATCTGTATGTAGGCGTCTAATATTTTCTGAAGAGGACGATGTCGAAGACAGTTAATCGTTGAGGTACCAATGTTGGTGGGACAACCCAGTTTTTCTGCTACCTGACGAGCATAAAAGAGTGAATCTTTCGCGATGGCCCAGGGGCTGAAAACCGATCCACTCTGTAGGATGACTCGGTGAAAAAGATCTGTAAAAGACAAAATCTTAGGAAAAATACTATTCGAACAACCCAAATGTGAATTTGTTTTAAGGAAAGATATGGTAAAAGTGTATGTGGTAATTTTATTTTTACACAATATATGTCCTCATCTCGGATTTAATCCTAGACAAGTGCTCTAGTAACTGAACTAAAGGGTTATCCAATTAGTGATTGGTAGTAAGGCTCTTTCTAAACAACGCAAACTACTACATCTGTATAGATATTTGAGTTTCAATTGTCTTTTATTTCTTTATCTCATTAAATAAGTATTTTTCTAGTATCGAAAACATTTCCTCGTTA